AGCCGCCTCGTTAACGATCCATTGCTGCTGTTCAGGCGTGCGCGGCGTGTTCCGTGCCTTGACAGCAACTTGATGCTCCTGTTGTCGCACGGGGGTGTGGGATGGGATACAGAGGTAAGGGTGGTGAGTTCATGGGATATATGAGGCGACATTCAAACGACAATGTCTTTGGCATGAAAGCTCACCTTTGCAGCATAGCAGATGCTGCACGGCATCCGCGATCCATGCGAGAGTGTGCAACTGATCTTGCTGCTCTCGGGGTAGTCGCACACCCATGCGTACAGCAGGGGCCGCACGGTTTGCCAATCACCGAAAGGGTCCCTAAGACGGAACCCGATGCAAGGAACAGGTAGAGTGGCAACAGGAATTCGGAGGACGGATTTGTGCATGTACGAAGAGGGGCAAAGGGGACTGCTACTATTCAGGTGATTGGGTGACGACATAGCAAGATGCAAACCGAGTACGGACCTTTCCATGCCATCGAGAAGCGGCTGCAGCACGGTGGTGACGCATCGCTGGAAGAGCATCACCTTCTCCACGTCATACATTGCAGAAGGGGGGATAGGAAGGAGGGCAAGTAGCGTGTGGCCGGCTTTCCCCCATCGCTTGGCCTGGGAGATATTGGCAAGCGTCATCATGAGCGGCCACGCCTTCTTCCGGCCGTTGTTGCTCATGTGCGTCACATCCGAATATAGGATGACTCCCCCCACAACTTCGGTCCATCCAAAGTGTTCATGCAATGCACGACAAGGCGGCAACGGACACACGGTCAAACACAACCAAGGTAACTAGTCGCCAGGCGGATTAAACGACCTTCATAGCATGTTCATCGAACATGACACACTCAACATGCACCATACACATCAGCGCAGCAACGGAGGCATGAGCACCGATTGGGTTTTGGGTGGCAACGGGGTATTTCCATACCTGAGCATCATTCCACCACGTTCCTGTTTCCGGCATGGTATAGCGACGGTCGCCTGTGTCAGGGTCCTCATCGACCCGCGCCTTGAGGTTGAAGCCGGGCGCGTTGTTGGTATGCCCAAATAGTTCAGTGAATTCCTGGTTTACGGTAGTGAAGGCAGTAGAGAAGAGGGGCATGGTTAGAGGCGTTGATTGGTGGGTCCGATCTCATACAAGGATAACAAATATAACTTCATACAAGCACCACAAGGTTGCCGCATAAGCATTTCACTGCCAAGGATTCAGAGTCGGCTTACCTAAGCTGAGTTTTGGAATAGCAGGCGCTGAGGCGGATGACCGTCAATCTCGAAGGTCGCCACCGACCATCCGCGATTGAGCCCTGCCAAGCGCTCCATCTCAAACCGCTCCAGATCCTTGCAGTTCCGGAGCTCCGAGGTCACAAGAGGCGCAAGGCCGGGCTCTATCACGAGCTGAAGCAAGCCATTGATATCAACCTCCGCCATTCCCATTCCGCCATTCACGCGCCAAACGAAATGCAGCAGCTTCAACGCGAGCGGATTGAGGAGCGTGGCATCGCTCTGTCCGGAGATGATTGTCGGCGGCGAGGCATGAATCCCTTCAGGCTGGCTCTCAGGATGCTCACTCGTGTCAGCTGCAGGTGTTCCTGGTGGCAGTTGATGTTCATCTTCCGGAGCCCCCTCGTTAACAGCCGAGGGTGTTTTGTCTTCGTCAGCTTCAGGCAAGCGAGGAGGACCGCTCACACTGACGGTGTTGGATGCGTTAGACGCGGTAGGTGAAGCGGGAGCAGCGGGAGCGTCCGAGAGAATGTCGTGGACGAATAGCAGATCGTGTAGACCGGCGGACGGTGCAGATCGCGAGGGCCTTTCCACGGCGGAAAGCCCTTGACAAGGGGTCCGCCGTGACTTATGAACGCCATAAACTTGAGCGTTGGGGAACCATCTGTTGCAGAACTCGCAGACAACGCCTGGCAAAGAGCCCAAGTGTTACGGATCCGACTAAGAGTGGAGAAATGGCCTATGAAGCAAATAGCATGTTTGAAGTTTGTGAACGCATTAAGTACACCATCAACGAAAACTGTGACTGCAACACGGTCATCGCCAAAGCGCGAACTGTCCATGGCGGCTTGTATCTCTGCACGACTGGCACTTGAGCTTGGCGCTAATGTTAGGGACTGGCTAACAATGGTCGAGCAGCGCGGCCGTGACAAGGCACGATACAGACTGCCCACAGCACGGCATTTCCCTTTCCTACAAGGCGTGTCGCCCCCTTTTTAGAGCGACCACGACGTGAGCAAGGCCATATGCACTGGAGTTTAGCACGCTTGGTCGTGAGTGTGCGTCGCGAGCACGGTGAGAAGTACGTGCCTCTTGATTCAAAACTTGGGTTTTTGAATCGTGCGTGAGAGTCGAGGGGGATGACGAAGAGAGGGAAGAGATCCGTTTGGTGCTGTGATTCTTTCGAGAGTAGCTATAGGGGGAAAATCGCAATCACGTAGGTGAGCCCAAAGTGGTGCGCACCTTTAGAGTCTTAATCCAAAACCAGGTAATGACAATGTACAGTTACATTTTACACAGACACTCAATTCACTTATAATTAGTATTATACAAACATGCTTATGGGCCTGCACAAAAACAACCCCTAATTGACAACGGTAGTGTTTGTAAACCCTCCAAGTTCTCTAGTGTGGTCTGGAAACATACGGGAATTACCCAAGAACTCCGTGTGTTTCCGTAAGATTGTTGCATGTACCGAATATGTATATCGTCACTTCACAAGAGTTTTTTGTGGACCTCAAAGCACCGTGCTGAATTAACATGCAAGAATGGAGCCCAATCTAATACAATAACACAACGGTTTCACCATGACATGCAACACATGGGACTGAACGATGCAGCGTCGCCCTGTATAAGCATGGCTGTCGATAACGCATCGCCGCTTGTGCGTTAGCCCTGTGCTTCATACCACTCCCTTTATGCACCTTGTATAAGGTCCAGGCAAGTATTGAGCACAATCCAACACCATACCACAACGGTTTCACCATGTCGCGCTAAACATGGGCCTGAACGATGCAACTTCGCCCTGTCTAAACATGGCTGTCGATAACGCATCACCGCTTGTGCATTAGCCCTGTGCTTCATACAACTCCCTTTATGCACCTTGTATAAGGTCCAGGCAAGTATTGAGCACAATCCAACACCATACCACAACGGTTTCACCATGTCGCGCAAAACATGGGCCTGAACGATGCAACTTCGCCCTGTCTAAACATGGCTGCCGATAACGCATATGCACCTTGTATAAGGTCCATGCAAGTATTGAGCACAATCCAACACCATACCATAACGGTTTCACCATGTCGCGCAAAACATGGGCCTGAACGATGCAACTTCGCCCCGTCTAAACATGGCTATCGATAATGCATCACCGCTTGTGCGTTAGCCCTGTGCTTCATACCACTCCGTTTATGCACCTTGTATAAGGTCCATGCAAGTATTGAGCACAATCCAACACCATACCACAACGGTTTCACCATGTCGCGCAAAACATGGGCCTGAACGAAGCAACTTCGCCCCGTCTAAACATGGTTGTCGATAATGCATCACCGCTTGTGCGTTAGCCCTGTGCTTCATACCACTCCCTTTATGCACCTTGTATAAGGTCCATGCAAGTATTGAGCACAATCCAACACCATACCACAACGGTTTCACCATGTCGTGCAAAACATGGGCCTGAACGAAGCAACTTCGCCCCGTCTAAACATGGTTGTCGATAATGCATCACCGCTTGTGCGTTAGCCCTGTGCTTCATACCACTCCCTTTATGCACCTTGTATAAGGTCCATGCAAGTATTGAGCACAATCCAACACCATACCACAACGGTTTCACCATGTCGTGCAAAACATGGGCCTGAACGATGCAACTTCGCCCCGTCTAAACATGGTTGTCGATAATGCATCACCGCTTGTGCGTTAGCCCTGTGCTTCATACCACTCCCTTTATGCACCTTGTATAAGGTCCATGCAAGTATTGAGCACAATCCAACACCATACCACAACGGTTTCACCATGTCGTGCAAAACATGGGCCTGAACGATGCAACTTCGCCCTGTCTAAACATGGTTGTCAATAATGCATCACCGCTTGTGCGTTAGCCCTGTGCTTCATACCACTCCCTTTATGCACCTTGTATAAGGTCCATGCAAGTATTGAGCACAATCCAACACCATACCACAACTGTTTCTCGTTTGGCACTAGTGACCGTCGTGTTAGAATTTCGTACAACGACGCGTAACCGTTGTGGCATAGCCTAATAGTGCTTAGTTCATTTATCAGAATTAATACTTCTGGACGCTCTTTGTGTGTGTGACATGAGACAAACCCACTACCTTACCACAACCCCATTCCTTTACATTAGCAATCATTTTTTTGCTGATTGTTTTTGTTGTAGTTTTAAATGTTATTTAGCTCCTATGTACAACATTGTTCGTTCGCGACAGCACTGTACTTTGCAGGGTTTAGGTTGCATTCGCTCAATTGGTTCAAAAACTGTTCTAGCATGACAAGTGATTGATGCGTTGGCAACACTGATTGGCAGACGCATCTTAAACGACCCCTCCCGCAACACAAGCACCCGCCAAGCGGTACTTCCGCCATTGAGGGGCTGTAATCGAGCGGTGGGTGGGTTTATGATCGGGTGGCTACACGTACACCGTCCGATCTAGCCTGATCTGATTACAGTAATCTCTCTAGTCTCGCAAGCCACCCCAACCACCCTCGTGCCCCACCCACCTGCTTCCGTCACCCTCTGGCCCACAACTTTGACGCTGCTCGCTGTTTGACACAGGCGTTTCCAGATCGCCCGTGACTCACCGGTCGACTAAGTCATGGGCCGTAGCTCTTAGTGACTACTATTTCAGTATTGATTGAAGCGGAGGTTTTCGGAGAGAGATGACAGAATAGACCGTCGATTCTCCCTTCGTTACATTAATTTGCGGTTCCCCTTCGAAACCGGCTCCACCGTTCTGCCTTGTAGAAATTAGCATTTGTACTACAACCATGACACTTGCAACATGCCAAAAAGAAAAGGAGGAGGAACAGGCCGGACGTCGCGCGACAAGGAGGCTGTGTCAACAGACCGATAGGGAGGGTGGTGGCGGCTCTAAAGGTACTAATGCGTCTGCCGCGCGTGGCAGTGGGCTGAAAAAACTGGCGGGAAAAAAGGCCGCGCTTGGACAGGAGAAGTCCGGCAAGAAGGCGGAAGAGAAGGGGAAGCAACCAACGCCCGGTCCCGGATGTTGCCTCTGGTGGAACCGATCCCGGTCCGACTAACGACGGCACCATCGGCGGCAAAGAAGATCCAGGGCGAGGGAGCGTGAGTCTTGCAGTCCCATCGGCGGAGAGAGAGGGCTCGGCGACAGGGGGAAACCACGGCGACGCTCCCCGCGCCGAGCATGCCGCAACCCAGGAGTCCGAGGCGGAGGCATCCCAACACCATCTGACGCTGCTCCGGCCGACCGTGGTCGAAATTTCTGCTGCCGTGGTGGATAAGGCCAAGGCGGGGGGGCACGATTCGATGGAGGATCTCCAACACAGCATCGCCGACGTCGGTGGCTCTCCTCCTTCTGGTGGACGTGGGAGGCGTAGGCAGAGGAAGAGCGATGGGGAAGAAGATTATGACACCGCCGTGCCCGGGGACATCACTACGCGGGCGAAGAGACGGCAGACGACAGGCAGTGCTCACGACGCCGGTGGTGCGGAAGTTGGGACAACGCGAGGCGTCAGGGAAGCAAGTGGCTAGGCGACGGGTCATGCATTGCGCAAGAAGGGCCGACCCGCAGCAAGGAGAACATCCGGCGGAAGGAGGGGCAAGAAAGCAGCGAGGGGGAAGAGGCCGAAACGGGGCGAAGAAGACCCTGATAATGCGGAGGAGGAGGGTGAGGGGGATGCGGGGGATGAGGAGGAGGATGCTGATGAGGAGGAGGATGCGGATCAAGAGGAGGATGAAGAGGATGCGGAGGAGGAGGACGCGGATGTTGGGGAGGAAGAAAAATATGAGAATGATGACAAGGAGGAGGAGAAGAAGGAGGAGGAGGAGGAGGAGGAGGAGGAGGAGGAGGAGGAGGAGGAGGAGGAGGAGGAGGAGAGGGACGACGAGAATGAGGAGGAGGAGGAGGAGGAGGAGGAGGAGGAGGAGGAGGAGGAGGAGGAGAGGGACGACGAGAATGAGGAGGAGGAGGAGGAGGAGGAGGAGGAGGAGGAGGAGGAGGAGGAGGAGAGGAGGAGAAAAAGGAGGAGGAGGAGGAGGAGGAGGAGGAGGAGGAGGAGGAGGAGGAGGATGAGGAGGAGGATGTGGTGGCTGTGAAAGGACGGGGCAGGCGAGGCAGACGGGGGAGTGGTACAGGGAAGGTGGGGGGCCGGACTCGCCATTCCCGAAAACGCGGCGCAGGTGACGCCCCGCGTGGCGAAGCAGCGGGCAAACCGAAGGCGCGTAAACTGAAGGTCGAAAGTGAAGGGGGTGGTAAAAAGCAAGGGAGCCAGGGAGCAAAAGGGGATGGTGAAGGAAAGGGTGGCCACGCCAAAGGGGTTCCAGTGGGTTCCGGCAAGAAAGAACCAGTCGGTAAACGTCGCAGCGGCCGCCAAAGCACCCCGCGGAAAGGTGGCAACGAGAAGGCGCAGGCAGCAAAAAAACCGAAGGGACAGCAGAAAGGTAAGCACTGTGGCCCATACGCATGGCGTGGCTGCTGTACTCTCTGCTCAACCGTGCCAATTAACACATTTCTTCACATTGTTTCTCCCCTGCAGGGAAGGACAAGGTCGACAAATCTGCAAAGCAAGGTAAGGCCTCTTGTTACAAAACAGTACCCTTTATAACCCGATTTAGATTCAAACCGCTGATTGTATGCAAGCATGTGTGCCCCTGTATTGAAACTAATCGACTGTAATTTTATGCTCCTGCTCCCTATAAATCTCAGCCCCTCGTGTTACAGGCATTGGGCCACCAGTAAGCGTGCAACGGATGCAGCTAACGAAGGGGGCCGGAAGAGCGAGTGTTACCCCGCTATCCATAGGAGCCCCAAGGTTCTACACGCCATACTCCGGCCCATCTAAAGTCGCTGCTACGGCACCCGGCGCACCAAGAGGAGAGGAATCCGAATCCTCTCCACCAGGCCACGTCACGCACTCCCCACTCGCCTCACCCTCATACCCATATCGGCAGCTCCACGCTTCTCCTGTCCGGGGCAGGGCCGTCTCCCCCCTCGCCGGTCCTTCGCGCGGGCATCAGCCAAGCACTTCTGCCAATCCCTTCCCTGAGCTGCCCTTTTCCCGCCATCGTGATAGTGTGAGGGCACACGGGACTTCTGCAGAAGACGTTGATCCCCTTGGCCAGAGGGGGGATTCTTCACATCCTTTTCCCCCGCTCTTGGGTGCCCTAGGTGAAAGTGCGGAGCACGAGCAGTTTGTTACACGGGAGGAGTTCCAGTCGCTACGGTCTGAGATGTACGCCATGTTTGCTCAGTTCGGCCTGTGTCGTGGAGTACCTGCCAGTTATGCCGGGGGGTCCGCAGTGGTGCCTATGAAAGGTACCCCGCCGCCGATGAGTGCCGTGGACAAGGCACGAGTGCTAGTGTTGCAGGAGACAAACCCATTCCCGGTATGTGGCGGGCCAAATGGGGCGGGTTGGGGTTGACGTGGCAACCAGGGCGGGGTTGGGGATGACGTGGCGGTTTTGGAGGGTACAAGGGAGCGGCGTATGACGAGGCGAGGCGTGTTAGGTGGGTGGGGGGTGACGTGGATTGGGGTGGGGGAGGGTGATGTGGCAAGTGGGGCGGGTTGTTGGTGGGCGTGTCGGATGCAGGAGGTTGTGACGTGGCGGATGCAGGAGGTTGTGACGTGGCGGAAGGTGAGGGTTGGGGATGACGTGGCGGTTGGGATGGGTACAAGGGAGCGGCGCATGACGAGACGAGGCGTTTAAGGTGAGGTTTGGGGATGACGTGGCTTAGGCTGGGGGGGTGTGACGTGGCAAGTGGGGCGGGTAGTTGGTGGACGTGGTGGATGCAGGAGGGTGTGACGTGGCGGAAGGTGAGGGTTGGGGATGACGTGGCTTGGGGTGGGGGGGTGTGACGTGGCAAGTGGGGTGGGTAGTTGGTGGACGTGGCGGATGCAGGAGGGTGTGACGTGGCGGAAGGTGAGGGTTGGGGATGACATGGCGGATGCAGGAGGTTGTGACGTGGCAGAAGGTGAGGGTTGGGGATGACGTGGCGGTTGGGATGGGTACAAGGGAGCGGCGCATGGCGAGACGAGGCGTTTAAGGTGAGGGTTGGGGATGACGTGGCTTGGGGTGGGGGGGTATGACGTGGCAATTGGGGCGGGTTGTTGGTGGACATGGCGGATGCAGGAGGGTGTGGCGTGGCGGAAGGTGAGGGTTGGGGATGATGTGGCGGTTTGAAAGGGTACACGGGAGCGGGGCATGACGAGGCGAGGCGTGTTAAGGGGGTGGGGGGTGACGTGGCTTGTGGTAGGGGAGTATGACGTGGCAAGTGGGGCGGGTTGTTGGTGGACGTGGCGGATGCAGGAGGGTGTGATGTGGCGGAAGGTGAGGGTTGGGGATGACGTGGCGGTTTGAAAGGGTACACGGGAGCGGGGCATGCCGAGGCAAGGCGTGTCAAGGGGGTGGGGGGTGACGTGGCTTGGGGTGGGGGGGTGTGACATGGCAAGTGGGGCGGGTTGTTGGTGGACGTGGCGGATGCAGGAGGGTGTGACGTGGCGGATGCAGGAGGGTGTGACGTGGCGGAAGGTGAGGGTTGGGGATGACGTGGCGGTTTGAATGGGTACACGTGAGCGGCGCATGACGAAGCGAGGCGTGTCAGGTGGGTGGGGGGTGATGTGGCTTGTGGTAGGGGGGTGTGACGTGGCAAGTGGGGCGGGTTGTTGGTGGACGTGGCGGATGCAGGAGGGTGTGACGTGGCAAGTTCACACAGTGTTGCTAGTCACCATCCCCTGGTCACGCGGCCACCCTCATAACTGCTGGTTTCTCTCTCCCATGTTTCTGAACCCGCCGGAAAAAATACAGTACTACCCTGCACCGCAGGAAGTGTTTGACGCGTTCTTTGTCCACTTGTCTGCAGAAGGGCTCGAGGCAATGAAGCTGCTGTGGTTGCACAATGACAAGTCAACCATGGGAGTCTTCAACCACCAGCTGTCCTCAACAAGGTCAACTATCAACTCCACCTTCAGGCCAGCAGCATACACCGGCATGGGCCTTGCCGATTACAGCCATCTCGTGGATAGCCTGCCCTCTGAGCTACACCCAACGACCTGGTTAGACGACGATCATCTCCTAGCCGAGTACAGAGATGGTATGTGCAACTCGAAAACACCATATGCCCTACCATATGTCAGTTGGCAGCTACATTTCACCGTGCGATGTGGCTCACCCTGACTCTCATCCCCCCACTTGATTTCTCTACAAAACCCTTTCCAACCCATACCCTCCCTGCCAAAATGCAGAACAGTGGGCCCTCAACTGGCACTTTGACAAGGCCACCCGGACGCCCTTCAGCAACCCCTTGTTCGCTTATGCGTTCAAGCTCTTCTTCAAGAGGGGCGGGGCAGTGTTCACCAAGTTCAAGAGCCGCATGGTGGCATGGTGGCATTTGTTTGTACCCCCATGTCTCATCCCCTTAAACCCTTGCCTGTACTTCAGCTAAATCCCTGGTCGATTAAGCCTTTGCAGTTACGTAGATAGTGACGATTGAATCACCGCTTTCAGTTGGCTCATTTACCCGTAACCCACCCTCCTCATAAACCATCCACCCAACCCTACACCACATTGCAGATCGAATGGCCCCTTCTGCAGGATAAGCGTCGCAAGCGAATCAGTAGCCAGCCGGAACAGAACAGGCCAGACTACCAGGAGTGGTGCAAAAAGGTCAAACAGATGATCCACTTTGCTGTCGTGGAGCGGAGGATCCCCCACGATCCGGCTATGGGTGCGTTCGTCTTTCCGAACAAGTTCGTCATCGACGATGGCGACCTTGGAGATGTCGTCCTTGCCCACTGGGCGCTTTCAAGGCCCGCCAATGCGTAGGCTATTTGACTTGGTGCTAAGACTGCTTGTTGCTAGAATGCTGAATAATGGTTGTTGTAAACCGCAATAATAAATGCAATTTTGAAATCCTAAATATCCAAAATGAACAAAAACAGAATTTAGTTTTGAATAATTTGGTCACGAATTTGCACCAAAACGGATTGCGCCCGAATGTCATCCGGAAAAGCTCGCGTGCAAAATTGGAACTTGAACCGAGCCAATCCTTGTCGCGAGATGTGTCTCGGAGCTCCTATCAAATGACTGCAACAGTCGGTCCAAATTGGCTCCGGATTTTTTTATGCATAGACAATCAAAATCAAAATTCGTCCAAACTTGGCATAGGGTTTTTGTGATGTCGTCGTCTACGCTGATTATTTGCTTTACATCGGGAGCGCCGCGACGATTCTCACTTACTTTGAAGGGGAGCTGCAGACGGACCTTACGTTTACAATCTCTACTACGGTTACGCAGTATCTCGCCTCAACATCACCGAGACGCCGACTGTTACTTATCTCTCGGCTAAAAGGTGTGCGGAAAAGCTTCACACGCGATTTCATTTACTGCTGACTACAGCTTCTACTCCGTTCTGTTCTACTCCATCCACAGACTCTGAGGTCTTATCCGCCGACGGTGTCACACGCTATTAGTAGCTACTCGGCAGTCTCTGTCAGTAGATCTGCACTGTGAGATCCCCGACTGATCCTAGGAGGGTTACAGGCGCGTTCGCCTGGGGGGGTATGGGCGCACAAACCCGCTACACAAACAAGCCCTTTTATCCCAATGGTCTAAGTAGTTGGGATTTTTGACATGGTATCAGAGCGGTCTTGGGTTCGAATCCCGGTGTATGCACATGTAGGCCGTTGCTGCTGTGCTCAGTCCTGGGCCTCCCAGTGTGGGGGGGTGTCAGTAGATCTGCAATGTGGATGCCCGATTGATCCTAGGAGGGGTTACAGGCGCGTTCGCCTGGGGGGTTATGGGCGCACAAACCCGCTACACAAACACGCCTTTTTTTCCAATGGTCTTAGTGGTTGGGATTCTGACAGTCTCCTATTCGCCGTCGTCACCGGTCGCCCGAATTTATCCTACTCTGCTAGTCAGTTTTCTCAATATCTTAAGCAACCTGAAGGGGAGAATCTACGGGAGCTCGAAGCAGCAGTGTCCTACTTCGTGTCTATGCCTACGCTTGGACTAACTTATCACAAGTCGCCGCAGTCGCTGCTTTCACTACTTGACTACGTTGATGCAGATCATGCGGGTGATAATGCAAACAGGCG